AAATACAGGCCCCCACCACCACACCCGGCTAATTTTTGTATTTTTAGTAGAGACGGGGTTTCACCGTGTTAGCCAGGATGGTCTCGATCTCCTGACCTCAGGTGACCCACCTGCCTTGGCCTCCCAAAGTGCTGGGATTACAGGCATGAGCCACCGTGCCTGGCAGAATATTTTTTATAATATATATAGTTAAGAAAAAGCACAAAACTATTTTTACAAAAGTAGAACCAGAAACTTATTTTGGGGAGAGACAATAAATTCAGTGGATTGGAAAGTACATGTATTTCTAATTTTATGCCTTTCATGGTTTAAATTTTTTTTTTTTTGGAGAGGGTGTCACTGTTACCCAGGCTGGAGTACAGTGGTGCAAACACAGCTCATTGCAACCTCCACCTTCTGGGCTCAAGCGATCCTCCCACCTCAGCCTCCTAAGTAGCTCCCGTGTGCATTGAAGCTGGGACCATAGGGATGTATCACCATGCCCAGCTAATTTAAAAATTTTTTTGTAGACATGGGGTCTCACTATGTTGCCCAGGGTGGCCCTGAACTCCTGAGCTGAAATGATCTGCCCATCTCGGCCTCCCAAAGTGCTGGAATTACAGATGTGAGCCACTGCAGCTGGCCTGAATTTTTTAAACCATGTGTAATTTTTTTTTTTTTTTTTTTTTGAGATGGAGTCTCGCTCTGTCACCCAGGCTGGAGTGCAGTGGCCGGATCTCAGCTCACTGCAAGCTCCGCCTCCCGGGTTCACGCCATTCTCCTGCCTCAGCCTCCCGAGTAGCTGGGACTACAGGCGTCCGCCACCACGCCCGGCTAGTTTTTTTTTTGTATTTTTTTTTTTTTAGTAGAGACGGGGTTTCACCGTGTTAGCCAGGATGGTCTCGATCTCCTGACCTTGTGATCCGCCCGTCTCGGCCTCCCAAAGTGCTGGGATTACAGGCTTGAGCCACCGCGCCCGGCCTAACCATGTGTAATTTTATGTAACACATATATATTACAAGTACACACCATATTTCACATAAATTAAGATGTGTTCACTGGGGTTATCCAGATGGCAGGCTTACAGGCCATTTTTTTTTAATTGTCATAAAACATATATAACATAAAATGTGCGACCATCTGCACCATATCCAGAACTTGTTAAACATTCTAAGCAGAAATTCTGTCCCTATTAGAAACTAAGTCATTCCTTCCCCTCAGCTCCTGGCAGCCTCTAATTTACTTTCTGTCTTTATGAATCTGACTGTGCCAGGCACACCTCAGATTCATGGAGTCATACAGCATTTGTCCTTTTGTGATTGGCTTCTACTACTTAGAATAACGTTCTCAAAGTTCCTCCACGTTGTAGCATGTGTCACTTGCCTTTACAAGGCTGAGTAATATTCCATTGTACCGAAAGACGCACCTTGGTTTGTTTATCCACTCATCTAAGGACACGTGGGTTGTTTCCACTTTTGCTACTGTGGACAGTGCTGCGTGGACATGGATGTGCAATCTTTTGGTGTTCCGGCTCTCACTTCTTTGGGTATACACCTGGAGGTGGAACGCTGGATCCTAAGGTAGTACTGTTTGAATTTCTGAATCGCCAGACTGTTCTCCACAGTGGTTGCAACACCTTAAATTCCCACCAGCAGTGCATGGTGGCACTGTTATTTTAAAATTCATGTTTTTGCCGGGCGCGGTGGCTCACGCCTGTAATCCCAGCACTTTGGAAGGCCGAGGCGGGCGGATCACTAGGTCAGGAGATCGAGACCACGGTGAAACCCCGTTTCTACTAAAAATACAAAAAATTAGCCGGGCGCGGTGGCGGGCGCCTGTAGTCCCAGCTACTCAGGAGGCTGAGGCAGGAGAATGGCGTGAACCCGGGAGGCGGAGCTTGCAGTGAGCCGAGATTGCGCCACTGCACTCCAGCCTGGGCGACAGAGCAAGACTCTGTCTCAAAAAAAAAAATAAAATAAAATAAAAATAAAAAAATAAAATAAAATAAAATTCATGTTTTCTTTTCATGGCTGCTGTGGAGGCTGCACTGTGGGCTTCTTGGTTTGTTTCTGACCTTGCTGGTGCCGAGTGCTGTGCTGCCAATGACCTTCCACAGCAATCTGGGAAAACCCCACACCCTAGACCAGGCTGGTGGTGGCCCAGGTGCGGCAGGGGCAGGGGTGCTGAGGTTGCCCAGGCCTGGAGGCGTCTGGACGGCAGACCTGCACCGCACCCCAAGAGGGGAGGTGACAACTGAGGCCACTCCTGCTGCCCTGGGGCAGAGAGGCTCCTGCAGAAAGTGGAAAACCTTAGTAAGGCACTTACCTCAATGGCCCCTCCCAGCACAGGGCTTCCTGGTGACCTGGCCACAGCCGTGCCTGGAGGACAAGGTGAGGTGCATGTGGAGTCTGGACTCACTGCCTGTCGTCAGCAGGGAATGCAGGCCTGAGCACAACCCCAGAGAGCTGCTCACAGGGCCAGCTCACCTGAGCTCTGGGAAGCAGCTCCGCACAGGCCCTGGCCTGCCACAGGTAAGCCGGTGTAGGACTGGGAACGCAGGAAGCCACAGGTGAGGCCTTCGGAGGCCGGTTCTTCCCACCCACGGGCAGCTGCAGAGTGTATCTCCTAAGGGCCCTCTGGGGTCAGGCCTGCAGCTGCTGGGAACTTCGAGCTCCCCTCTCCCAGGTTTCTCAATATTTGTTCAGGGAACACCTGCATAGAATAGAAGTCAGGGTGGGAAGTGAAAGCTGCAGACCGCTGGGCCTGGGCCAGGCCTCTGGATTCCAATAAAAGTTTGGTGCTGGGCCTGGGAACCTGCATCAGAGACGCATGCTCTAGTTTGCGGATTGCAGATTTGGGCAAAAGCTGGCCTCATTTCGAGGAATTCAGAGGCAGGAGTGTGGCCCCCAAGCTGTGGCTGCAGGGAGAGCTCCTGCCATCAGCCATGAGTAGGGTACACACCTATCAGGTTCCTGGAGCCCAGCAGGGGTTGAAAAGTGAAAAATGAAAGGTCTCACTGAAGGGCAAGGCTCACCCCGACTCTGGAGCCTGCCTCCCTGCTTGGCTGAGGGTCCTTCAGGGACAAGAGGGCTCCAGGAGGACAGAACCACCCCCAGCTCCCCAGGGAGGCCTGGCCAGCTGGCATTCCCCCTGTGAGGATGTCGCAAAGGGTGACACGCTGAACGCCACACGGGCTCATTTAGTCCTCACCCTAGGAGGCAGGGGAGGCAGCAGGGGCTGCATAGCTAACTGCCCCAGCAGCCCATGGGTTCTGAGGGTGCTTTTCAGACCCAGGTGGTCTCTGAACAATCTGGAAGGTAAAGAAATGACTCAGTTAAAACATCCCCATACTGGCATGTGGGACTCCAGAACCCAGAAAGAACTTGTGGTGACTGGGAATTTGGGGGCTGTCCTTGGTCAGGGGCCTGGTCTCCTGGCAGGTGGCTCGGCAGGAGAGGCACAGGGCTGAGCAGCCTGGTTCTGTCCCTGCCTCCTGGAGCTCCCTGCCCTTGAGGTTTTGGGTTAGTGAGAGTGACGGTGGCAGTGCCAAGAGACAGCTTCAGCCCCCTCCGAGCACCACTCTTTGATGCGGACCAAGTGTTTTCTCAATCCCGTGTGAGGTGGTTTCAGCTTCAGCCACCTCTTCCAACCTGGCTGTCACCTTGCGGCTGGAGCTGCAGGGAGAGGATCCGTCCTGGGATGTGCTGGGCCGGAAGAGCCAAGATAGCACAGGGACTCTCAGCAGAGCCGAGGGGCATGTCAAGGAAGGGGACGGTGGGAGGGTGCCAGCTGAGGACGATGCATGGGGCCTGGGCTCTGGGACCCTGATCCAGTGGATGTGAGTGTGGTGGCGAGCTTGCCATGCAGAGATGAGACTGCGTGGTGGGGCTGGGCTTCCTCCTAGAGTCAGGGGAAAGGCAAAGAGGCTTCGCCTCTCCTCTCTCATCACAGTAATGACAGGTCCTGGAGCTGAGGAAGCCCATGAGGTGAGGCTGCATCCGGGAGAGCATGTCTAGGCCAAGGGGCAGGCAGCTTCTTCTCCTGGCCGCACACTCACCTGGTGTGACCCCACTATCTGTGGGGCTTTTTTTTTTAAACACTGTCTCTGTCGCCCAGGTTGGAGTGCAGTGCAGATCCTGGCTCACTGCAACCTCCACCTCCTGGGTTTAAGCGATTCTCCTGCCTCAGTCTCCTGAGTATTGAGTAGCTGGGATCATAGGTGTGTACCACCACGGCCAGCTAATTTTTGTATTTTTAATAGAGAAGGGGTTTTGCCATGTTGGCCAGGCTGGTCTCAAACTCCTGGTCTCAAGTGATCCGCCTGCCTCGGCCTCCCAAAGTGATGGGATTACAGGTAAGCACACCCCGCCTTATATGTCTCTTCAGAGGTGGCTCAGATCAAGTGATGTTGTGCAGGCTTTGGGTTTTAGACCGACTCACAGAAACTTTTTGCCCATTTTAAATTGCAGTTATCAGATGTTCTGAGCTCATTAACTACTGTACACTTACAGTTTTTACATTTTAGGATACGACTTTCTATTGACATCTAATTTATATTTTGCAGCACCTTGGACTAAGTTTTGAATTTGGGATTAGCTGTGACACCCACCCCCCACCTCCGATTAATTGTATACTCAGAGCCATCGCAACTTAAGACACAAGGGAGAGGGTGTGGGAAGAAACTCCCAGCCCCAGAGCTCAGGGTATGACACTCAAGCTGACCAGTGACAGACTGCTGGAACCAGACCCCAATCTCCCAGCTGCAGCGAAAGAGCCAGGCAGACTCAGCTGAAATCTGGTCAAAGACTCTCAGGCTCCAGGGAAATTTACCTATCCAATATGCAAACAGATGAACCAGCTCAGGGTTCCTGAGCTTTCCAACCCTCCTGGCTCCCAACACTAGGGGAAGAAAGTCTATTTTTGGCAAATACTTCTGGGGCTGAATCAATGCATTCTGAGTAAGACAAAAATACTAAGAGTCTATTTTAAAAAGGGCTTCCATTCTGATCACCCCAACACCATGACTGTACAAACCAGTTTTATTAGGGAACTGCCCCAGGTGCATCTCTGTTCATGCTCTCATCACACCTGTTTCTCAGATCAGCCCAGGCTCGGAGGGAAGTTACCAGCTAAGCAAAGAGGAAAACTGTTCTGCAAAATAGCAACTGTCAGCTTAAGGCATTACTAACATTGCAGAAGGAAGCAAGATTACTAGGGACGTCTGGATAGCCCAGGACAGTGACTTCTGGGAACAGGAAGCTCCCTAGGGCCAGATCGTGCTGCCATCCAACTTGGGAGATGACACTATCGTGCTGGGATGGTGGGTAACTCTTTCAAACCCATCCATGTCACAGAACACTGTCTATTCCTTGAGCTTTTGGATTCAGAAATTAGTTATATAAAAAGTACTCTTGGCCCAGAAGCCCCAACATGTGTGTGGGTCTTGGGGCACTCCCTCAATCCTCCCTGGCTGGAGCAGGGGAGGATGGAGATACATGGAAGGTTGGTCAGGCTCTGTTTTAGAAATGAAGTCACGACTAGGAATCGGGAGCGAGGGGGGCAGAGACCCCTGCTGCAATCACATGCTGAATCATTGTCCTCCTGAGAGCAGGCTCCTACGGTTCCTTCAGTCCACGGAAGTGCTCAGAGCAGGGCAGGCCAGTGCGGCCATGGAGCTGCCGCCCCCTCATTGCATGCCGAACCACTGCTCCTGGTCAGCCCACTGGGCCGCCTCACTGTCGCTGCCCTCCAGGTCCCCTTCTTCCCCACTCCCTTCCATGTCGTCCACATCCTCCTCCTGAGTGGCATCCGTGGGACTCTCCTCCTTCTCCATCTTCTGCATCCCCTCTAGAGACTTCTGGTCATTGGGGTCCAAACTAGGGGACAACAAAACAAAGGAGACGCCTGAATCTCTGCCTTGCTCTTGCTGGCTGATTCGTCATCTCCCTGGCCCGGCAGTGAAATGACTACACAGTCCCAGAGAATGTGCTAAAGCCTGGGCTCGCAACTCAGGCTTCCAAGGCTGGGTTGAGGGAGTCCACCACCAGAAGTGCAAAAAGGAGTCTTTTCCTAATTTTTAGAATGCTCAATTTGAGTTTTTCTCCACAAATTTCTTAAATTTTTTCATACCTATTACCCCTAGCATGCTGCTAGAGGCAGCTACCAGATAACACAAATGAAAAAGTGGCAAACAAACATTAACAGGTAAATTCAAATGTAATTCCCAGAAAGTTGGGTTTTTGAGCTACAGGGTTACAAAAAATAGGAATTTCTCTGAGTATAGGTGTCCCATGTTCTTATGATGTAATTAAACATATCAGTATTTCAGGAGCCAACCAAAAACATCACGCTGTACCATGGAACAGACTTGTAAACACCTAGGTTAGACCCCAGGACCCAAGGCTACCTCTACCCAAGCATTTGCATTTAGCAGCTGAGTGTCAGTACATATGCCACCCCCACCCCAAAGTTCAGAGCCTCTAGAACATTCATTTATTTGCCTCCTAAGCAATCTTTCCTCTTGCCTTGGTGACCATCACCCAAGCCAGCAGGTGTCCCACCCCTAGCAAACTCCACCTCTAATGGAAGTCTGGTATTTTATTTTCTCACTTGCTTCTGGGATTCTAAAAAGCAACTAAAACCCACGTTGGCACCCTGTTTCTACCGATACAAATGCGGACCGATCTGTAACATCTCCTCATCTCCTGGTTGAAGCCTTCCACATCCTGTACTCTGAAGCTGTCACCCAAACCCAGGGGTCTTGCCCTCTGGACTCCCATCTTCCCTTCTACAGACTGCTATGAAAGCCCTTAGCACGTGGTATGGTCAGTCTGCATGTCTGAGACTGACAGCTCCCGAAACATAGCATCTCCAGTCGTCACTGAGATCCTAGGGACACAAGTGGTGCTTAACTGTGCGCTGAACAACTGAATGTGATCAGACTCTATATTAAAGACAGCCCTTCACCATAACCTTACAGACACACAGACAACCCTCAAAGAAACCACTTCTGTATTAAACAGTAAGAATACCACTATTTATTTAGTATTTACTATGTACCAGGCACAGGGCTAAGAGCTTTACATGAAATAATCATTTAACCCTCATTCGATCATTTAATATCTAATAAGGTAGCTAGATATAAACAAGGAAATGTGTTAGTAACTTGCCCAAGATCACAGGTGGTGAAGGTAGTATTCAAAACTTCAGACCTCAAGTTCTTAATGACTACAGTAGATAGAAACATGGGAAAGTACTTACAATACTTTGATTTGAAAAAGAATATAAAATATATACTAGGTACAACCCTATAAAAATATGTGTGGGCAAGGACAGAAGATGAGCTATACAAATGAACACAGATGTTATAGTGGTGTGGGATGGTTATGAGTGAAACAGTTCTCTAATGTTGTTAATATATTTTAAGAAAAATTTTTAGAAGTCATGAATCCACAAATAACTCCTCTACCATTACTATTATTATTCTGCTTTCAACCATGGACACAAAGTGTGTGTGTGTTTCCATAACTCCATAACTCCTGTGACGCAGCTCACTGCCTCCTCTACCCTCCTCAGTGGCCTTCCCCCAAGGGAGGCTAGTGCCTACCTTAGTGCTATACTATACTGGTCCATTGCCTCCTGATACTCATTGACAGCTACAAGGAAATCTCCTAGGATCCGATGCAGGACACAGTCACTCTGATTAGCCAGTGCGTTCCTCAGCAAAGCAATTCCATCTTCATATTTCTGTTCTCTGCCTGGTGGAATAAAAAAGACCCTCACTGTCCTACTTGAACATTTTGAAAATATATTCCCATCTTAAGTCACGTACAAAAAAAACACAACTACCATTCTGACAATCTCTTTGCAGACATCCTCAAGATAACACTGGTGCAACACAAAGCGAGGGCAAGCACACCTGATGTCCTATTCAGTTAAGAAATCTGCAGTTTGAATTACAATGTTTTAAATGGGCTCTTAACTTTATTTTTTTTATTTTATTTTATTTTTTTTGAGACGGAGTCTTGCTCTGTCACCCAGGCTGGAGCGCAGTGGCCGGATCTCAGCTCACTGAAAGCTCCGCCTCCCGGGTTTACGCCATTCTCCTGCCTCAGCCTCCGAGTAGCTGGGACTACAGGCGCCCGCCACCGCGCCCGGCTAGTTTTTTGTATTTTTAGTAGAGACGGGGTTTCACCGTGTTAGCCAGGATGGTCTCGATCTCCTGACCTCATGATCTGCCCGCCTCGGCCTCCCAAAGTGCTGGGATTACAGGCTTGAGCCACTGCGCCCGGCCTTAATGGGCTCTTAACTTTAAAAAGCCAAATTGCATTTGCCAACTAGCCCAAATTCAATGAACCAAACTATGAGTTCATCATAAATCAGGACTGAAAAAAAAAAAAAAACAGGGCCAAATGAGAAGTCATAAAATAATTCAGATAGCACCAAACAGTTCAAACTGGCTAAAACCAGTTAGTTAGATTCAGCTCAAACTAATTCAGGACAACTCAAACCAGATAACAGTGAGCCAAGGCTGGACGCAGCGGCTCACGCCTGTAATCCCACCACTTTGGGAGGCCGAGATGGGTGGATCACGAGGTCAGGAGTTCGAAACCAGCCTGGCCAATATGGTGAAACCCTGTCTCTACTAAAAAAAAAAGAAAAAAAATTAGCTGGGTGTGGTAGTGCATGGCTGTAGACCCAGCTACTCAGGAGGCTGAGGCAGAAAAATCGCTTGAACCTGGGAGGCGGAAGTTGCTGTGGGCTGAGATTGCACCACTGCACTCCAGCCTGGGTGATAGAGCGAGAGGTCGTCTCAAAAAAAAAAAAAAAGAAAAAAAAAAAAAAAAAAAAAAAAGGCCGGGCGCGGTGGCTCAAGCCTGTAATCCCAGCACTTTGGGAGGCCGAGGCAGGCGGATCACAAGGTCAGGAGATCGAGACCACAGTGAAACCCCGTCTCTACTAAAAATACAAAAAATTAGCCGGGCGCGGTGGCGGGCGCCTGTAGTCCTAGCTACTCAGGAGGCTGAGGCAGGAGAATGGCGTGAACCCAGGAGGCGGAGCTTGCAGTGAGCCGAGATCGCACCACTGCACTCCAGCCTGGGCAACAGCGTGAGACTCCGTCTCAAAAAAAAAAATAATAATAATAATAAAAAATAAAAAAAAAGTGAGCCAAACAGATACCAACCAATTATAGGTGGCTACAGCCAAGCCAAGCAGGTCTAAGCCAGCTACATTTGGTTGGGCTAAATATAAACCAATCCAAGCAGGCTCAGACCTGCTGCAAAACACACACACCTGTCTGGTCATCTGTAACTAGCTGGGACAAGGGTGTCCAATGAGGTCAGGTTTCATAAAAATTAATGATGAATAGGGCAGAAAATAACACACACTTACTAAGCAGTTCTGCTTTTTTCACCACAGCCTTAATGTAATCTGGCCTTTGGGTCAGGGCTTTATCTAATAACGTTTTGGCTTTCTCCTGTGTCACTGGGTCTTCAAGACAAACGGTGGCTAAAAGGGTAAGGGTCTGTGCATTTGCTCCCAGAGTTTTGTAAACGTTGTTAGCCATTACCATTGCTTCTCGAATACTGTTGGAGGCTAAGTAACACTCGATAAGACCTGAAAAAAGTAAAACACATTAAGACATTCAATGCCATTACCACTTCAACCCATGCTTCCACTCTGACAGCTCTCCAAATTGCTAACCTTCAAAGTTTCAGACGAACGGCAGGCCAGGGGAAACTGATGGTGGGATTAGACAGGCAAGTGTGTTGATGGAATAGCTAAGAAGTGCTCTTCCCCAGAGCACTTGATGGATGTGGAAAAAGACTGCCTTCAAAGGCACCTTCAGTTTAGGGAAGGAAACAAGCACATGTAAGGAACTCACAGCATGTGAGCACCCCATCTGACCGCTGGAAGAATAAATGTGACACTAATGATTACTTTGTCATATGGCCAAGAGATCAAAGTAGTGAGAGATGATGTTCCCCAAAAAACCCAAGGTTTTGCTGCCTCTTAACAAGCTGTTATTCTCCAGCTGCATTCGGTCACCTGCAGGGCTAGGTTTAAGATGGAAGGCTCCTAGGGTCTTTTTTTTTGAGATGGAGTTTCGCTTTTGTTGCCCAGGCTGGAGTGCAATGGCACCATCTCCACTCACTGCAACCTCCGCCTCCCGGGTTCAAGTGATTCTCCTCCCTCAGCCTCCCGGGTAGCTGGGATTACAGGCATGCGCCACCATGCCCGGCTAGTTTTGTATTTTTAGTAGAGACGGGGTTTCTCCATGTTGGTCAGGCTGGTCGCGAACTCCTGACCTCAGGTGATCCGCCTAGCTTGGCCTCCCAAAGTGCTGGGATTACAGGTATGAGCCACCGTGCCTGGCCTGGCTCCTAGAGTCTTTAAGTGAATTTCCAGTTTGACAAATAAAGGACTTATTGTCAAGCAACCTAGGGAGAAAGACTCTTTTATTTGAAACATAACAGCTGTCTCAAAAGGCACTTGCTGAGGGCTTCCCTAAACTAGATCAAGAATACTTTATCAGGTGCACCAAACAGACTGGAACTGGCAGCCCTTGCCTCTTTCCACACCCACAGCGAGATGTCCTATGAGGAGGCCACCTTGAGAAGAGTCAACTCTCAACTCTTCACGCCAAGAAGTTGAGGAGAACAGAGGAATAACTTTTTGGCACAAAGCGCTCATCAAAACAAAAAAACAGCTTAAACCCCAAACCCACACAATCCTTGGCAGATTTTCTCTGCATACTCCTCCACCCTAGCAGCATTTATAACATTCATGCACACCCTTCCACACACTACGGTTACTTAACCAGAAATTATCTAACTCTTTTTTTTTTTTTTAAGAAACAGTCTTGCTCTGTCATCCAGGCTGGAGTGCAGTGGTGATATCTCAGCTCACTGCAACCCATGTCTCCTGGGTTCAAGCGATTCTCCTGCCTCAGCCTCCCAAGTAGCTGGGACTACAGGTGTGTGCCACCACGCATGGCTAAATTTTTTTCTATTTTTAGTAGAGATGGTATTTCGCCATGTTGGCCAGGCTGGTCTCGAACTCCTGACCTCAGCTGATCCACTGGCCTCGGCCTCCCAAAGTGCTGGGATTACAGGCGTGAGCCACCACACCTGGCCAACTACCTAACTCTTAATCCATGCTGGATTCCACACACAGTTGTTTGCAATTACTTATTGAATAGTTTTAATTCCCTGCTAAAGCCCTACTGGAGCTTAAGAAGAAAACAGAATGCACTTGCCTAACCTAAACCTCTACCAGCAAAAGAAGGAAGCTCCCACTGGAAACTGTAAGAAACCTCAAAGGGTGTAGTCAGAGTTGCCCTGACCCAAATCTCCAAATGGCAGCTTAAGAAGCCTCACTGGCCAACTGGGAAACATCTGCTGTCCAAATATTAGAGGACAGGCTATTCAACTGCATCCCTGATCTCTGGTGAAATAAGCATGCAGTATAATGGAATTAACATGGTAACAGCAGCTGGGAAGATAGGGAAGTTACAGTTTCAGGATCAAGAAGTTAATCTGAAATCAATGGCTAGTTTGCTGGAGCTTCTTTAAAAACAAAGACAATCCTCTTTCCCCCCAACAAATCCAGAGGCATAGCTCTCTGGCTATATAAGCAGATCTGTTCTCTTTCCCAACATCCAAATTTTATTTCTCAAATTTGAACTCATCTTCCTGTTAAGAGCAAATCACTCCTAGACTCCTGGGTATATTTTTAAGTGCTTATAAAAATATGTTTTGGAGGAACTGCATCTTGTAAGATCTATTTTAATGTCTGTGGCTGAGTCACCAAACGTTGCTGAAGCTGGCACAGGTCCTTTGAACTCCTAGGGTCAGTTCACATGAACTTAAAATATTACGTAACAAAACAAAGTTGGGCCCCGATTGTGCCCACTCTGGAGGTCACAATGAACAGACCCATTCCCACAGCCAACACTATCATACGGATGTGGAGTTATCCCATGAGTACTAACTCTGGCCCAAGGTAAGATGGCCACAAAAAAGAATAGGCCTAACAGGCCATGTACAGTGGCTCATGCCTGTAATCCCAGCACCTTAGGAGGCCGAGGTGGGCAGATCACTTGAGCCCAGGAGTTTGGGACCAGCCTGGCTAACATGGCGCAACCCCGCCTCTACTAAAAATACAAAAATTAGCTGGGTGTGGTGGTGCACGCCTGTAATCCCAGCTACTCAGGAGGCTGAGGCAGGAGAATCACTTAAATCCAGGAAGCAGATGTTGCAGTGAGCTGAGATTGCATGGCTGCACTCCAGCCTGGGCGACAGAGTGAGATTCTATCTCAAATAAAAATAAAAAAAATAGGCCGGTTGGGGTGGCTCATGCCTGTAATCCCAGCACTTTGGGAGGCTGAGGCAGGGAGATCATGAGGTCAGGAGTTCGAGACCAGCCTAGCCAACATGGTGAAACCTCATCTCACTAAAAAATACAAAAATTAGCCAGGTGTGGTGGTGGGCGCCTGTAATCCCAGCTACTTGAGAGGCTGAGGCAGGAGAATCGTTTGAACCTGGAAGGTGGAGGCTGCAGTGAGCCAAGATCATGCCATTGCACTCTAGCCTGGGCAACAGGGTAAGGCTCTGTCTCAAAAAAAAAACAAGGCCTGGGCATAGTGGCTCATGCCTGTAATCCCAGCACTTTGGGAGGCCGAGGTGGGCAGATCACGAGGTCAGGAGATTGAGACCAGCCTGGCTAGCACAGTGAAACCCTATCTCTACTAAAACTACAAAAAATTAGCCGGGTGTGGTGGCTGGGAGTCTGTGGTCCCACATGCTCAGGAGGCTGAGGCAGGAGAATGGCATTAACCCGGGAGGTGGAGCTTGCAGTGAGCCAAGATTGTGCCACTGCACTCCAGCCTGGGCAACAAAGTGAGACTCTGTCTCGGAAAAAAAAAAAAAAAAGGAATTAAAAAAAAAAATAGGCAAACTAAGTGATCTCGCATGGTGCCTGACACAGAGAGATTCATATTAATGAGTATGCCACATTGGATGGGGGCGAGGGGTGGGAGGACAAAAAAAAAACCCCATCCCAACTCTCCCCTCACCAAAAACCAGAAAAAAAAAATCAGAAAAAATGGATTCTGAAAGTACAGGGTGACAAATCCATTGAAAGCCCTAAATAAATGTAAAATGCCTAGTGCAGTGGTTCCCAAACTTGTCTGCACATTGGTAACACCTGGGGACCTCCAGAAATGTCAATGTCTATTCCCAACTCCATATATTTCCATCTACATTGGAGAGATGCAACATCAGGATTTGAAAAGCTTCCCCAGATGATTTTTTTTTTTTGGGAGGGAGTCTCACTCTGTTGCCAGGCTGCAGTGCAGTGGTGTGATCTCAGTTCACTGAAACCTCTGCCTCCCAGGTTCAAGCAATTCTCCTGCCTCAGCCTCCCAAGTAGCTGGGACTACAGGCGTGCACCACCATGCCTAGCTAATTTTTGTATTTTTAGTAGATGCGGGGTTTCACCACGTTGGCCAGGATGGTCTCAATCTCTTGACCTCGTGATCCGCCCGGTCTCAGACTCCCAAAGTGCTGAGATTACAGGCATGAGCCACCACATCCGGCCAGCTTCCCCAGATTATTCTAACAGAGTTTGGGAAGTGCTGGCCTAATGAAACCTTCCGTCTGAGGACTGTTGCCACACCCACAGATTCATACCATTCACCTGTGTTTTCTATCTTACCTTCATAACAATCTAAGCGACAAGGTGCGAGCCGTATGGCCTCCCGAAAGTGGATTATTGCTTCTTGGACTCTGCCCATGTTCCTAAGTGCTGCTCCCTTAAGTAGCAAAGCTTGAACACTATTACTGTTCAGCTGAATGGCCTTGGCTCCTAAATAGAGGGCCCGTGAGTAGCGTTTGCTATAGAAGCTGTGACAGCTGGAGACAACAAAAAAACAACAAAAAAACCCCAGAAGTTATTTAAGAGAAGACTACAAAGAAACTTCATCCAAAAATCATATTGAAGGCCCTGAACATAATCCTTATTCCAAACCACACTTACAGTTTTAACCTATGATATTAGTAGAAAAGCAAAACAAACCAAAAAATCCACTAAATATTTATTTTTAAGGGGAAATCTTGATACAGAAGGGACAAATTATGAAAAAGAACCTATGATCTAGATATTAGTTATTAGCAGAGAGGCATTAGGAGAATTTGTAAAGCCAGGTTAATAACAAAGGAGCATCTTCTGGCCCCATCACTGATGGCTCAGTACTAAGCACAACGCATTCACCAACTCGGTTAATGCTTAACCCTAGAAGGAGAGGTTATTAGCCCATTTTCCAAATGAGAATACAGACCTAGATAGATAAATAATGCATCCAGAGTCATAAACCATGATTTGAATCCAGGACTGATTATCCTTTTAAAAATATATACATATACTTATATGTGTGTGTGTGTGTGTGTATATATATATAGAGAGAGAGAGAGAGAGAGAGAGACAGAGAGAGAGAGAGAGAGAGAGAGAGAGAGAGAGAGAGAGAGAGAGAGATTGAGAGAGAGAGAGTCTTGCTACACTGCCCAGGCTGGTCTCAAACTCCTGGCCTCAAGTAATTACCTCTTTTAATTTTATTTATTTATTTCTGAGACAAAAACTCACTCTGCTACCCATCTGGAATGCAGTGGCACGATCTTGGCTCACTGCAACCTCTGACTCCTGGGTTCAAGCGATTCTCCTGTCTCAGCCTCCCGAGTAGCTGGGATTACAGGCGTGCGCCACCATGCCCGACTTTTTTTTTTTTTTTTTGATAGAGTCTTGCTCTGTCACCTAGGCTGGAGTGAAATGGTGTGATCTTGGCTCACTGCAACCTCTGCCTCCCAGATTCAAGCAATTCTCCTGCCTCAGCCTCCCAAGTAGCTGGGATTACAGATGCCTACCACCGTACCTGGCTAATTTTTGTATTTTTAGTAGAGATGGGGTTTCATCATGTTGGTCAGGATAGTTTCAAACTCCTGACCTCAAGCGATCCACCCACCTTGGCCTCCCAAAGTGCTGGGATTACAGGCGTGAGCCACCGCACACAACTTTTGTATTTTTAGTAGAGACGGGTTTTGCCACGATGGCCAGGCTCGTCTCGAACTCCTGGCCTCAAGCAATCCGCCTGTCTCAGTCTCCCAAAGTGTTGAGATTACAGGCATGAGCCATCATGCCTGGCCAGGCGATTACCTCTTAAACCTGAGCTTTCAATTTATATTCTCTTCAGGAGCAACCACAATCTCTTAATCTACTGACAACTGGGGAGAAAGAAGGCATAATCATACCCAGAAACCACCCACGGTTCTGCATGCTGATCAGAGATATTGAAAAGGCGGCATCCAAGGTTCTCAACATCCTCCAGCCGCCCTTCTCGTGCCAATAGGTAGCCATATACATCCATTCCTAGAAAAGGAGGACACAGAAGAGGTGTTTTAAGCAGAGAAGCAGGGGTCCCACATACAGGAGTAGCACCCAATATCAGACCCCATGTTGAGGCCCCAGCTCCTGCAGGGGCTAAGCCCTTTACACCATCACAGGCTCCTCCCACTACTATTTCCAGTTTCCTACAAAGTGACTATTAAAATGCAAAACCCAGGCCAGGAGCAGGGGCTCACACCTGTAATCCCAGCACTTTAGGAAGTCAAGGCAGGTGGATCATGAGGTCAGGAGATCAGGACCATCCTGGCTAACACAGTGAAACCCTGTCTCTACTAAAAATACAAAAAATTAGCCGGGCATAGTGGCACGTGCCTGTACTCCTAGCTACTTGGGAGGCTGAGGCAGGAGGATCACTTGAACCAGGAAGGCGTAGGTTGCAGTGAGCCGAGATCACGCTACTGCATTGCCTGGGCAACAGACTGAGACTCTGTCTCAAAAAAAAAAAAAAAAAAGAAAATGCAAAACCCAGCTGGGCATGGTGGCTCACACCTGTAATCCTGGCACTCTGGGTGGCGGAGGCAGGAGTATCACCTGGGCCCAGAAGTTCAAGACCAGCCTGGGCAATATGGTAAGACCCTGTTCTCCACATAAATTTTAAAATATTAGCCAAGTGGTTGGGTGTGGTGGCTCATGCCTGTAAACCCAGCGCTTTGGGAGGCTGAGGCAGGCAGATCACGAGGTCAGGAGTTCAAGAACAGGCTAACAGGTGAAATCCCATCTCTACTAAAAATACAAAAATTACCTGGGCATGGTGGCGTGTGCCTGTAATCCCAGCTACTCAGGAGGCTGAGGCAGGAGAATCGCTTGAACCAGAGAGGCGGAGGTTGCAGCAAGCCGAATCACACCATTGCACTCCAGCCTTGGCTACAGAGCGAGACTCCATCTCAAGAAAAAAGAAGGGCCAGGCGTGGTGGCTCATGCCTGTAATCCCAGCACTTTGGGAGGCCAAGGCAGGTGGATGACGAGGTCAGGAGTTCAAAACCAGCCTGGCCAAGATGGTGAAACCCCGTCTCTACTAAAAATACAAAAAATTAGCTGGGTACAGTGGCAGGCGCCTGTAATCCCAGCTACTCAAGAGGCTGAGGCAGGAGAACTGCTTGAATTCGGAGGGCGGAGGCTGCAGTGAGCCGAGATTGCACCACTGTACTCCAGCCTGGGCGGCAGAGTAAGACTATGTCTAAAAAAGTAAATAAATAAAATAAAATAAAAAGAAAAAAAAATTAGCCAAGCACAGTGGCACATGCCTTTGGTCCCAGCTAGTCAGGAGGCTAAGGCAGGAGGATTGCTTGTGCCCAGGAGGTCAAGGCTGCAGTGAGCTATGTTTGAGCCACTCCAGCCTGAGTGACAGAGTGAGACCCTGTCTCTAACAACAAAAACAAAACCAAAAACCAAAGGAGGCTGGGCATGGTGACTCACGCCTATAATCCCAGCACTTTGGGAGGCCGAGGCGGGAGTTCAAGACCAGCCTGGCCAAGGTGGTGAAACGTTGTCTCTACTAAAAATACAAAAACTTGCTGGGCATGGTGGCACACACTTGTAATCCCAGCTACTCAAGAGGCTGAGGCAGAGAACTGCTTAAACCTGGGAGGTGGAGGTTGCAGTGAGCCGAGATCGCGTCACTGCACTCCAGACTGGGCGATAGAGTGAGACTCTGTCTCACAAAAAAAAAAAAAAGACAAAACAAAAAAACAAAGGAGCAGAACAACCTACCTCACAATTTGAAAGCCTGCAATTTTCAGGAAGTGTTTGCCCCTCTCTCCTGTGGCGTGATATACAGCTACCCGAACCCAACCCAACCAGAAAAGGCCCAAAAAAAGGCATCAAGTAAGGTTCCTCTTTCAAGAGTTCTAGACCATCAGAAACATGCTGCTGAAAAGCCAGTCAGTCTCAGAAAAAGTTGGCCTATTCCCAAAAAACTTGTAGTTCTATCCAAAATGTAGTTCATTAAAGATCACCACCTCGGCCAGGCGCGGTGGCTCAAGTCTGTAATCCCAGCACTTTGGGAGGCCGAGGCGGGCGGATCACGAGGTCAGGAGATCGAGACCATCCTGGCTAACCCGGTGAAACCCCGTCTCTCCTAAAAAATACAAAAAACTAGCTGGGCAAGGTGGCGGGCGCCTGTATACAGTCCCAGCTACTCGGGAGGCTGAGGCAGGAGAATGGCGTAAACCCGGGAGGCGGAGCTTGCAGTGAGCCGAGATCCGGCCATTGCACTCCAGGCTGGGCAACAGAGCAAGACTCCGTCTCAAAAAAAAAAAAAAGATCACCGCCTCAGGCTGGGCACAGTGGCTCAGGCCTGTAATCCCAACACTTAGGGAGACTGAGGCAGGTGGATTACCTAAGGTCAGGAGCTGCAGACCATCCTGGCTAACATGGTGAAACTCCCGTCTCCTCTAAAAAAATACAAAAATTAGTTGGGTGTGGTGGCGGGCACCTATAATCCTGGCTACACGGGAGGCTGAGGTGGGAGAGTCACTTTAACCAGGAGGCGGAGGTTGCAGTTGAGCCAAGATTGTGCCACTGCACTCCTGCCTGGGCGACAAGAGTGAAACTCCGTCTCAAACAAACAAGCAAACAAAAAATCACTGCCTCTCCCCAGCCCCCGTTTTATTCTCACCCACATTCTATAAAAAGGGACCTATGCTCACTGTTACCTATCTCTTGCCACCATTCTCTTCCATCCCTTGTTATCCCCCTTCAGATTCCCATGAAAATTCCTCTCAAGCCAAGATTACTACAATGCTCCTGCTGGCTCCTGGGTCTTGGTCTGAGATTCCAAGCTGCCAGCTGCTGTCAGACTAGTATTTCTAAAACACCATTTTCATCATGGGTGCAGGGAGCTTGCAGAAGAGGAATAAGCACTTGAGGCGAGAGGGAGATCTTGTGCAAACAAATCCATTTTTCTAGATCTGTTTCCTCATCTAAATGCTTGGGATGGCCCCTTCCTAGCTCCGCCATTCCCCTGGGTTAAGAGCTCACAAGACTGTTTATTGTCACAAGGCCTTGTTTTTCTGATGGCCTTTTTTGGGCCTTTACAAATAGACAGCATATCTATCTGACCTTATTTCCCACTATTCCTGAGTACTCACTGCCAGTGTCCCAACTGCCATCTCTTGGAGGTCCCTGTGAAGATTACCTGTCACCTGCAATCTTTTTTAAGATCAGTGATTTTTCTGTTGTTCACGCCTAATTACTGTCTTTAATCACCTTATCCCTTTCTTATTCCTTTTTAATTATACTAAGGATACGGTAAAACAAAATTCCCTAAAAGGATATTATGATTTTAGGGATGCCATCCAAATTCTCAGTCAGGCATATCATAAATTTGTAAGTCATAAGGAGGAGCTATGATCCCCTCAAAAGAAAAAAAGCCAAATAATGATCTGTGGGGAGAAGACACTTGAATTCAATCAAAAACAACTGCTTAAATGGAATTACCTAAATGTTAGAAACATGTGTCATGACCTAAAAAAACTAAAAGACTACTATAAGTTTTATACACTATTTCTGGGCCGGGCGCGGTGGCTCACGCCTGTAATCCCAGCACTTTGGGAGGCCGAGGCGGGCGGATCACAAGGTCAGGAGATCGAGACCACGGTAAAACCCCGTCTCTACTAAAAATTACAAAAAATTAGCCGGGCGCGGTTGTGGGCGCCTGTAGTCCCAGCTACTCGGGAGGCTGAGGCAGGAGAATGGCGTAAACCCGGGAGGCGGAGCTTGCAGTGAGCCGAGATCGCGCCACTGCACTCCAGCCTGGGCTGGGCGACAGAGCGAGACTCCGTCTCAAAAAAAAAAAAAAAAAAAAAAAGAAACGTGTCATGACCTAAAAAAACTAAAAGACTACTATAAGTTTTATACACTATTTCTATGAAACTTGGTATCGAGCATTCATGCTGCATATTCTCCCTATTATCTCTGATCCCCCTCAACAACAGCCACTGTCTTCCTGCCCCAAGAATTACTTACCTTTTATCAGATAAGGATCCAACATCTGTGCCTGTTCAAACTTGAGGACAGAGTTTTTATTGTCTCCGGCTCTGAAGTACAGATCTGCTAAGCTTCCCAGTAGGTCCACGTTATCTCGCAATAAGGATTTTTTCTCTAGTGAACTTTAAGATATTTATTAAACACTGAACCTTTAAATCTATTATAAATCCTCTTAGTTGTTGAATCTGGATTTAGTTGTTGAATCTGGATGATTGGTCATACAGATAGTATTTTCTTTTGCATAAATATAAAAGTCTTCATAATAAAAAACTTTAAGCTTATGACTTTAAAAAAAGTTATATAGGACAGGATAGCAAAAATACAGAATAAAGCAGAAATCTCTCAGTACAAACAAATAACTTTGTGGTGGCAGTTCTTCAGAACACAACATACGCTACATGGTGTTAAAAGTAATGTCATTCACAAGTGACACCTATTTATTACTCAAGTAAATGACTTTGCATAACACAAGCCCAGGCCGGGCGCGGTGGCTCAAGCCTGTAATCCCAGCACTTTGGGAGGCCGAGACGGGTGGATCACGAGGTCAGGAGATCGAGACCATCCTGGCGAACACAGTGAAACCCCGTCTCTACTAAAACTACAGAAAAAAAAAACTAGCCGGGCGAGGTGGTGGGCGCCTGTAGTCCCAGCTACTTGGGAGGCTGAGGCAGGAGAATGGCGGGAACCCGGGAGGCGGAGCTTGCAGTGAGCTGAGATCCGGCCACTGCACTCCAGCCTGGGCGACAGAGCGAGACTCCGTCTCAAAAAAAAAAAAAAAAACAAAACAAAACACAAGCCCAAGCCTCTTCTTGTCCTTGAACTTTATCTGAATATAAAGAAAATCCCTAGTCCCAAGAAGGCAAGCCAGGTTAGATGTTGCAATAAACTAAGCTTCTGGTGAGTGCAAAATGATTTTCTTCCACAAGGCCAGACATAGTGGCTCACGTCTATAATCCCAGTACTTTGGGAAGCCCAGGTGGGAGAATCACTTGAGCCCAGGAATTCAAGACCAGCTTGGGCAACATGGTGAAATCCCATCTCTACAAAAAAAAATACGAAAATTAGCTGGGTGTGGTGGCGTGCACCTGTAGTCCCAGATAATCAGGAGGTTGAGCAGGGGGATAGTTTGAGCCCAGGAGATTGACAGGTCAAGGCTACACTGAGCTGTGACTATGCCACTGCACTCCAGCCTGGGTGAGAGAGAGAGAAATCTTGTCTCGAAAAAAACAAAAAAATGACACACCAAGGTAGCCGGCTTTGCTTTGCAAGGGTTACTACCTATGCAGGTGCAGAGCTAAACTCAGTCAGATTTATATTTTTACAGGTCCCCAACAGAGATGATTACATGATTATATTTGGGACCATTCAGTGTAAAAGACTAACACATCCCAGAGACTGGCTGCAGCACCAAGAGAGAAGCATCTCATTTTTCTTTTTGTTACTTCAGATACACCAGAATTCCAGACAAGCAAAGGCCTCAAAAACACTGAATTAACTTTGTGGCTCTCACCAGATGGTATTGATTGCTCTTGAGTTGTCACCGGTATGCACAAAAGCATACGCTTTGATCCACACAGATAGCCAGTCCAAGTTAGGCACGGTTTGGATCACATTCATTGTCATGGACGCCACCTCTGCCCCTTTTACAGAAAGGGACAGCAAGCCTAAACCAACAAAAAGCAGAAGAAAGAAAGTAAGGCACGATATCTCTCTTCCACATGCAAGGAGCAACGAGCTATGTTTTCCCTCGGCTAAAAGGCAACTGCTTCCCTATTCTGAGCAATGCATGACAGAAAAAACATATTTTAGTATTTCTTTTCTTTTTGAGACAGAGTCTTGCTCTGTCCCCCTGGGCTGGAATGCAGTGGCACAATCTCAGTTCACTGCAACCTCCACTTTCCTGGGTTCAAGTGATACTCATGCCCCAGCCTCCCGAGGAGCTGGGACTACAGGCATGTGCCACCATGCCTGGCTAATTTCTGTATTTTTAGTAGAGACGGGGTTGTGCCATGTTGCCCAAGCTGGTCTTGAACTCCTGAGCTCAGGCAATCCACCCACCTCAGCCTCCCAAAGTGCTAGGATTACAGGTGTGAGCCACTGTGCCCAGCCAAAAACCATGATTAAGTATTTCTTGACTGAATATGTGACAACAGAATCCTATTAAATCACTCTCTGGAGGGGAACTTTTAAAAAATAAAGTTATTCTAATGTACAGCCAAGATTGAGAACTACTATCTTTGACAGTAAACATGCCATGAAAACAGGCAGAAAATATCTCTACCTAGAATGGCATCAAGGGCTAATGGGCACTGCCTCAGCACCTCCTTATAGCTGGTGACTGAAGGGCGCTCCTGACCAGCCTTCTTGTACAGGTTTGCCAGCATCATGTTTATCTGTATAAACACAAACAACAGATAGTAAAATAAGTGTATACTGCAAAGAAAATCGCTCACCATGAAGAAGTCCTAATTTTCATTACCAGTTATTTACTTTTTACTGGAAAATCTACCCACAACCCTGTGCAAATAAAGGGAGACTGACCCCATTCTTCAAAAGAAAGAATTACTACCTTTCCTTTCCCTAGCTCCTCCCATCCCTAAGAGGAAAGTCACATTTCCTTCCCACAAGGCCCAGTAATATCTGAACAAAAGACGCTGCCCTCTGGAAACTGGAACATTCATTTAAGAAATGGTAGAGAATGCTAGTTAACTTGATTCTTTCTTGATCTTAAAACAGAAGATGAACTATCTCACATAAGAAAGTGAGAAACTCCTGACATAGCTAGTTAAGAAGGATCAGATCAGTCTTTCCTAAAAAGGAAACGATACAGAAAGACAGATAAAGAAGTGTAATACTTGGCTTTTCTCTGACAATTCGCCTTGTGGCTAGACTCTAGCCTAACACTTAAGGCTTTGGCCCGTAGGTACAGTCTAACTCACTAAAGTAATGCTACAAAAATCAGCTACACTATTTAAATCCAGTGAGTGCAGACAGCTGCATTTTAGCATAATTTAAATATGTAATTCATAAAGCTAAATTAAAATAATCCTACCTAACATGCAACTGGGAAAACTCAAGAAAATCTAAAAGTTCTGGCCAGATGTGGTGGGTCACGCCTGTAATCCCAGCACGTTGGAAGGCCAAGGTGGGTGGATCACGAGGTCAGGAGATCGAGACCACCCTGGCTAACACGGTGAAATCACGTCTCTACTAAAAAAACACAAAAAATTAGCTGGACGTGGTGGCAGGTGCCTGTAGTCCCAGCTACTCGGGAGGCTGAGGCAGGAGAATGACGTGAACCCAGGAAGCAGAGCTTGCGGTGAGCCGAGATCGTGACACGACACTACACTCCAGACTGGGAGACAGAGCGAGACTCCGTCTCAAAAAAAAAAAAGAATATCTAAAAGTTCCAAAGAATGCAGAAGTTATAGGCAAGTGATAAAAGACTTTCCTAATAGTACACAGATAAACACAATATTCCAATTTAAAATTAGATTTTTTCTCTTTTTCTTTCTGAGACGGAGTTTCACGCTTGTCACCCAGGCTAGAGTGTGATGGCGCCATCTCGGCTCACTGCAACCTCTGCCTCCTGGGTTCAAGTGATTCTCCTGCCTCAGCCTCCTGAGTAGCTGGGATTACAGCCACCCGTCACCACGCCCGGCTAAATTTTTTTGTATTTTTAGTAGACACGGGGTTTCACCATGTTGGCCAGGCTGGTCTCGAACTCCTGACCTCAGGTGATCCGCTCACCTCGGTCTCCCAAAGTGCTGGGATTACAGGTGTCAGTTACCGTGTCTGGCAAAATTAGTAGATTTTAAACACAACAGTATTTGCTAGATCATTGACCTAAGGAAGCAGTCAGTGTGAGGGCACAAAAGAAAAAAGGTCAACTCCCAATCTCTTCGATTATCTGTGGCTTGGTATGCCAGATATTTACTAGAAAGAGTGGCTCTGAAGATAAAGAACATCTGTTGCAAGATAAAGAACATCTGTTGCAATTATAGACCTACATTACATAAAACAATCTAATATAGCATTAATTCAAACAATGGAATAATGAAACACTAAAAATAAAACTATTTTTTACTTGGCCTCAGATTTTCCGTATTAGGCTACTATTTTGAAAATGCAAAGAAAAATACTTAAAGGAAAACTCCAGGATTGATGTCAATACTTGTAAAGAATAAAAAGTTAAATCTAAGATCCTTTCTTGACTGCTGGTTATATTAACAAACTATGACTGATGGACTATCTGTCTCAACAAATATCAAAATTTCCTTTAAGCTACTTGACTGTCACTTTAAAAGAATGAGTTTTGAGTAATACCTAATGAAAAAGTCAGTTATTGGCCGGGCGTGGTGGCTCACGCCTCTAATCCTAGCACTTTGGGAGGCCAAGGCGGGTGCATTACAAGGTCAGGAGTTCGAGACCAGCCTGGCCAACGTGGTGAAACCCTGTCTCTACTAAAACACAAAAAATTAGCCAGGTGCAGCAGCATGCGCCTGTAGTCCCAGCTACTCAGGAGGCTGAGACAGGAGAATCGCTTGAACCCAGGAGGCGGAGGTTGCAGTGAGCTGAGATCATGCCATTGTACTCCAGCCTGGGCAACAGAGCGAGACTCCATCTCAAAAAAAAAAAAAGTCAACTATTTTAAAAATAGATCCTCACTTAAGAACATCATAAAGCCACATTCCACCAGTTATAAAAACAAGCAGTCATCATTTTCTAAAAACTGAGTAAGAAATTCTATGTTGGTATGTTTACTCTTAAAATGTGAACATTTACCAAGATTTAATAATCTAACACTGAAATTTTCCTTTAAAATGTGAGGGAATGTGTGGCGATGTTTACCATATATTAACAGACATTCATTTAGACATATTTTGACTCACTTCTTTGTCCTTTACACAGACTGAGAAGCCAGTTAACTCCCTAACGGACAAGAAAGAAAAACTGTAAATGTTAAAGGTTTATGTTCGAGGCACACATCTTTGCTCCTAGCTATAAGAGCACTACAGAATGAAGGATACGTACTACTGACAAATGCAGACTCATACAGTTGCTCTAAGAATGATGGCAATGAAAATCAAGCAGTGGATGCTATAAAGCTGAGATGCTTTGCCATTACTATTTTCCAAAAAAAACTCCTACAAATATCCACAAGTCATTTGGAAGGAGATTATGGTATATTTCTAATAAGGTAAGGAATAGTATCCTTCAAAGTTTATAATTAAAATGGCTTCTTGGCCGGGCATGGTGGCTCACACCTATAATCCCAGCACTTTGGGAGGCCTAGGCGGGCGGATCACCTGAGGTCAGGAGACCGAGATCATCCTGGCCAACATGGTGAAACCCTGTCTCTACTAAAATGCAAAAAAGTAGCCAGGCATGGGGGTGTGCGCCTGTAGTCCCAGCTACTCGAAAGGCTGAGGTAGGGAGGTGGAGGTTGCAGTGAGCCGAGATCGTGCCACTGCACTCCAGCCTGGCGACACAGCAAGACTCTGTCTCAAAAAAAAAAAAAAAAAAAAAAAAAAAAAAAGGTTTCTTACAAAAGGAAGATACCTTGAGTATTGCAGCAGACATTCTTTATCTGTGCAAAAAGATTATTCTTGGAGTAAGAGAAGACTTTCATAGGTTACCAGAACAGGATTTGGTATACAACATCCAAGCTTATTATGAGAGAGGTTAATTCATAATAAACTTTCAAGTGTTTTTAACAGCAGCCAAAATCATACTGAAAAAATAGCTTCAAAAACTCAGAAAACAGTAAATAATACCTTAATATGAGGAGGTGCTTAAACATGTTCTCATCAAGTTTGGTTACTTTTAAAGTTCAGCAAGACTTGGATGAAGCAGGCCGGGCGCGGTGGCTCAAGCCTGTAATCCCAGCACTTTGGGAGGCCGAGACGGGCGGATCACGAGGTCAGGAGTTCGAGACCATCCTGGCTAACACGGTGAAACCCCATCTCTACTAAAAAATACAAAAAACTAGCCGGGCGAGGTGGCGGGCGCCTGTAGTCCCGGCTACTCGGGAGGCTGAGGCAGGAGAATGGCGTAAAAACCCGGGAGGCAGAGCTTGCAGTGAGCTGAGATCCGGCCACTGCACTCCAGCCTGGGCGACACAGCGAGACTCCGTCTCAAAAAAAAAAAAAAAAAAGACTTGGATGAAGCAGCACTAACTAAAATACACCAGGCCCCTACTGCTTAGATTTCCTACCTTTTAAAGGCAGGAGGATGCACACGTCATTTTACCTATAAAATTCCTTATTATTAAGCAAAAGTTGCACAAAACAGTTTTTCAATAAAGTGAGCAGGGTGGGAGACATGATAGTATTCTTAGAATATTAAATACTGATATATTCTCACATTCATGAACTTATTCAGCATTTATAAAACTAACAGAAAAAATACTATTCTTCTCATTTTATAAATAAAAAAGTAGTAAAGCTCACAAATTAGTAACATGCCCAAGTTTGCACTGCACACAGCTTGTATGCCCTAAACTCAAACTAGACACCAGATATTTTAATTTTAATTAAAGGTGTTTTCTTCACTGTAATATGCTGCCAAATCAAACACAAAGACATATTCTACACATAAATAAGGATAAAAGAATCTTACAGTATTAAGTTTCAAAACAAAGGAATAAAACCACCCCCATTACCAAAGGGGTACACCTATGGAGGGCAAAAAATGAAGTTCTAAAAAAGTATGTTTACCACCTGGAAGTGTTTTACAAATAAATCATTATTTCCTATAATAAGAAACATCAAAGGCTTCTCTGCCTATGGAGTAGCCATTCTTTATTCCTTTATTTTATTAGTAAACTCACTTTCACTGAAAAACAAAAACACGAAGAGGCCAGGTGCAGTGGCTCGCACCTGTAATCCCAGCAATTTGGGAGGCTAAGGTGGGAGGACAATTTGAGCCCAGAAGTTTGAGACCAACCTGGGCAACACAGTGGAGACTATCTCTTAAAAAAAAAAAAAAAAAAAAAAATATATATATATATATATATATATAGAGAGAGAGAGAGAGAGAGAGAGAGAGAGAGAGAGAGAGAGGGGCTGGGTGCGGTGGCTCATGCCTGTAATCGCAGCACTCTGGGAGGCCGAGGCGGGTAGATCACCTGAGGTCAGGAGTTCGAGACCAGCCTGACCAACATGGAGAAACCCCGTCTCTACTAAAAATACAAAATTAGTCGGGCATGGTGGCGCATGTCTGTAATCCCAGCTACTCGGGAGATTGAGGCAGGAGAATTGCTTGAACCCAGGAGGCGGAGGTTGCAGTGAGCTGAGATTGTGCCATTGCACTCTGGTCTGGGCATCAAGAATCAACCTCCCTCTAGAAAAAAAAAAAAAAGGCCAGGCATGGTGGCTCACGCCTGTAATCCCAGCACTTTAGGAGGCCGCAGCAGGCAAATCACAAAGTCAGGAGTTCAAGACCAGCCTGGCCAATATGGTGAAACACCACCTCTACCAAAAATACAAAAATTAGCCAGGAGTGGTGGTGGTGGTGGTGGGTGCCTGTAGTCCCAGCTACTTGGGAGGCTGAGGCAGGAGAATCACTTGAACCTGGGAGGTGGTGGCTGCAGTGAGCCAAGATTGCACCACTGCACTCCAGCCTGGGAGACAGAGCAAGACTGTCTCAAAACAAAAAAACAAAACAAAAATAAAAAATAGGCGTGGAGTGGTGTCTCACACCTATAATCCCAGCATTTTGGGAGGCCAAAGTGGGAGTACAACTTGAGCCCAGGCATTTGAGACCAGCCTGGGCAACACAGTGGAACCTTGTCTCTACCAAAAATAAAAAAAATTGGCTGGGCGCAGTGGCTCCTGCCTATAATCCCAACACTTTGGGAGGCCGAGGTGGGCGGATCACCTGAGGTCAGGAGTTCAAGACTAGCCTGGCCAACATGGCAAAACCCCATCTCTACTAAAAATACAAAAAAATTAGACTGGTATGGTGGCAGGTGCCTGTAATCCCAGCTACTCGGGAGGCTGAGGCATGAGAATCGCTTGTACTTAGGAGACGGAGGTTGCAGTGAGCCCCTATGCTATTGCACTCCAGCCTGGGCAACAAGAGCAAAACTCCATCTCAAAAAAAAAAAAAAAAAAAAAAAAAAATTAGCTGGGTGTGGCAGCTTGCAACTGTAATCCCAGCTATTTGGGAGGCTGAGGTGGGAGGATTGCTTAAGCCTGGGAGGTTGAAGCTGCAGTGAGCCAGAATCACACCACTGCACTTTAGCTTGGGTGACGGTGAGACTCAGTCTCAAAAAATACTAAGTTAAACATTAAAAAAGAAAAAAAGGGCCGGGCGCGGTGGCTCAAGCCTGTAATCCCAGCACTTTGGGAGGCCGAGACGGGCGGATCACGAGGTCAGGAGATCGAGACCATCCTGGTTAATACGGTAAAACCCCGTCTCTACTAAAAAGTACAAAAAACTAGCCGGGCAAGGTGGCGGGCGCCTGTAGTCCCAGCTACTTGGGAGGCTGAGGCAGGAGAATGGCGTGAACCCGGGAGGTGGAGCTTGCAGTGAGCTGAGATCTGGCCACTGCACTCCAGCCTGGGCGACAGAGCGAGACTCCGTCTCAAAAAAAAAAAAAAAACCAAAGAATAAGCATGTGTAGTATTCTCCAGTTATCATTTTCAACAGCTGAATTTTCAGGGTCCCCCACTCCATGAAGAGGAAGAAAATGAGAATTAGAATCATGGGTAAAATGTTCAGATGGACTCCTTAATGCATGAGAAAACATGGAGGGAGGGAGCAAGGTTAGGAGGGCTGAGGAGAAAAACACACAAACATTCAACTTACTTTGGGAGTTCTTTGTCTTGAAGGGATCCCATCAAGTATAGCAATGGCATCTTTATCTTGTTTTAGCATTGTGTAACATTCAGCCATTTTGTATTTCACTTCAATTTCAGATGGAAGACACTAAAAGACAATGAAAATATCTCTTTGAAACATTATTCCAACAATATGAAAGTACCTCAAAACGTTAAACACAGTTATCATATGACCCAGTAATTCTTTTTTTGAGACAGGGTCTCGCTCTGTTGCCCAGGCTGCAGAGCCCAGTTGCCAGGCTGGAGTCCTGCAATGCAGTGATGCCAACATAATTTACTGCAGTCTTGAACTCCTAGTCTCAAGCAATCCTCCCCCCTTGGCCTCCTCAGTAGCTAGGACTACAGGTGTGTGCCACCATGCCCACTTGTGTAAAGACAGGAGTCTCACTATGTTGCCGAGGCTAGTCTCAAACTCCTGACCTGAAGTCCTCCCACGTTAGCCTCTCGAAGTGCTTGGATTACAGGTGTGAGCCACTGTGCCTGGCCTCATCTTTTACAACGAATCAGCTATCATCTAAATCAGCGGTCCCCAACCTTTTTGACACCAGTGACCAGTTTCATGAAAGACAATTTTTCCACAGATGGGGAGTGAGGGGGTGGTTTCAGGATGAAACCATTCCACCTCAGATCATCAGGCATTAGTCAGATTATGATAAGGAACACACAACCTAGATCCTAGCAAGTGTAGTTCACAATAGGGTTTGTGTTCCTGTGAGAATCTAATGCTACAGCTGATCTGACAGGAGGCGGAGCTCAGGTAGTAATATTCACTAGCCCTCCACCCACCTCCTGCTGTGCAGCCTGGTTCCTAACAGACCAGGCACTGGGGCCTGGGGAGCCCTGTTCTAAATTTTTGGAGTCTTTCTCAAAAAAAAAAAAAAAAAAATCACAATTCTATCTTCGATTACCTGACTTTGTGGAGTAGATGCAGAATTTCCAGTTGAAGGTCTCACTTTTGAAGTTTTACTTAGCGCTTTCTTCTGCTGTAAAGCCATGGTATACTTACTCACAGCATTCCGATATTCCTTATCATGAAAGAGAGAATCTGCATGATACACCAAAAGCTGGTACTTCTGAGATGGGGAGAATAACTCACTAGAAAACAAAGAAAGTATATCCCCTACATAGGTTATTTTGAAATTTTAGAAGGAACACTGTTAAGTGTCTACATAAGCCTAGCGCAAAGCCTTGTATAATGACAGCTTACAAAAGAGTCAATGTACCCTGAGTGCTAGTCCCTAAAGTAAGAAACATGAAAGTTGAAAGCTGAACTCTATGCTAATATGATAAATATATCTATTGCTCAATATAATCTTCCTTTATTTAACATTAAAGCAATGATACCTATGAATCAAATCCAGTAGGAGATAGAGAAAATGTAATACATCTTTTCCTCCCTTTCAATCCAAGCTCCCCCAACTTTTTTTTTTTTTTGAAATGGATTCTCGCTCTATCATCCAGGCTGGAGTGCAGTGGCGCGATCTCAGCTCACTGCAACCTCCACCTCCCAGGTTCAAGCGATTCTCCTTCCTCAGCCTCCAGAGTAGCTGAGATTACAGGCACGTGCCACCACGCCCAGCTAATTTTTGTTTTTTTTTTAAGTAGACACAGGGTTTCGCTATGTTGGCCAGGCTGGTCTCAAATTCCTGACCTCAAGTAATCTACCTGCGTCGGTCTTCCAAAGTGCTGGGATTCCAGTTACAGTGAGCTGAGATTGCACCATCGCACTCGCACTCCAGCCTGGCGACCGAGTGAGACCCCATCTCAAAACAAAACAAAACAAAACAAAAACAAAAAAACTAAAGAAAATGCCACTATAAAAGGAGAAAGGGGGGCTGGGCGTAGTGGCTCACGCCTGTAATCCCAGCACTTTGGGAGGCCAAGGCAGGCGGATCACCTGAGGTCAGGAGTTCAAGACTAGCCTAACCAACATGGTGAAACCGTCTCCACTAAAAATACAAAATTAGCTGGGCATGGTGGCACATGCCTGTAATCCCAGCTACTCGGGAGGTTGAGATAGGAGAATCGCTTGAACCCGGGAGGCGGAGGTTGCTATGAGCCGAGATTGCGCCACTGCACTCCAGCCTGGGCGACAAGAGTGAAACTCTGTCTTTAGAAAAAAAAAAAAAAAGGCCGCGCGCAGTGGCTTACGCCTGTAATCCCAGGCCACAGGGTTTCTTTTCGTTGAGGTAATGAAAACTTTCTGGAATTAGATCATGGTGATGACCATACAATTTTGTAAATACTCTAAAACCCACAGAATTGCATTATTGTGGCCATGCACTATGGCTTACGCCTATAATCCTAGCTACTTAGATGCTGAGGCCGGAGAATCACTTGAACCTGGGAGGCAGAGCTTGCAGTTAGCCAAGATCCCGCCACTGCACTCCAGCCTGGGTGACAGAGAGAGGCTCTGTCTCATAAATAAACAAACAAACAAACAAAAAACGGCCGGGAGCGGTGGCTCATGCCTGTAATCCCAGCACTTTGGGAGGCTAAGGTGGGAGGATCACCGAGGTCAGGAGTTTGACCAGCCTGGCCAGCATGTTGAAACCCTGTCTCTACTAAAAATACGAAAATCAGCCAGGCGTGGTGGTGGGCACCTGTAAACCCAGCTACTTGGAAGGCTGAGGGAAAACTGCTTGAACCCAGGAGGTGGAAGCTGCAGTGAGCCGAGATCACGCCACCGCACTCCAGCCTTGGTGACAGAGCGAGACTCAGTCTCCCCCCCAAAAAAAACAACACAACAAAAAAGTATAGTCTAGATGACTTAAGTTCTCTTCAAACTCTGTGATTCTATGTATGTAGTGAGAAATAACCATCTGATGCCTGGATACAAAAGTATTATTACACCCACAGAAGGCATTCTGATACTCATATAACATACATGTCTACTTACACATGCATAAGTTACCTCTGTAATGACACAGGAAAAAATAGTTACTGCCTCTGGAGAAAGGAAATGGTGGGGTGAGGTTCAAGACTCAGGGAAAGATACTGATCTGCATGCCCCTTCTCCACTGTTTGAATTTAACAGTGTCTACTGCCTATTCCACAAGAAATTTTAAAGTATAAACCATGAAGGGCAGAAACCTGAACATGTCCTAAAGCTAGGAAACTGCCAATCTAACCTAACATGAAAAAGCATGGGCTGAACTTAGTCTAGCCAGAGAATTAAACTGTTTCAAACTCTCCTGTAACATCTTTGAGAACTAAGAGCAAGTAGGGCCTAAATCTCCAAACGTGGAAACTATGCTTTGACAAATCACTCAGAACCAAGAACCAAGTGAAAGGTTCCAGAATAAACACAGAAGGCTGACAGAGACCAGGGCTCCTGTCAACATGAAGTGGATGGTGGCAAAATGATGGGTCTCACTAGTAAGGTCCAAAGCACACTAATGAGGCCGGGCTCGGTGGCTCACGCCTGTAATCCAAGCACTTTGGGAGGCCTAAGTCATGGGGATCACTTGAGGTCAGGAGTTCGAGACAAGCCTGGTCAACATGATAAAACTCCATCTCTATTAAAAAAAAAAAAAATTAGCCAGGCGTGGTGGTGCGAATCTGTAATCCCTGTTACTCAGGAGGCTGAGGTGGGAGGATCGCTTGAGCCTGGGAGGTGGAGGCTGTAGTGAGCCAAGATCGCACCACTGCACTCCAGCCTGGGCAACAGAGTAAGACTCTGACTGAAAAGCAAAACAAAACACCAAAGCACACTCATGAAAATCCAATGGGCAGCAGCAGCTGCATTGTAAGCACTTTAAGGACCTTTCCCTTCTGACCTAGACCAGCTTCTATAGCAGGCCAAACACTAATACATCTACAGAGTAGAAGTTTCCATGATAATGCCATTTGGAGGTAGCAGACTGGTGGCTCAGAATGGAGACTCTCCAGTCAGAGAAGACCAGGTCCAGACATTGTACTCCTCCATTTATTAGATGTGTGAACTCAGACAAGGGTATTTCACCTCCCTGAAGTTGTACTCACTTCCTCAACACACTCAATAAGCATGTGAGTGCTTAATGCGCACATCCACTGTGCTTTCAATTGCTAGGCGATGCGAAGGGTAGAAAAGTGGGAGTACCTGAGAGTCCTGGGAGTCAGAGAAGGTTCTCTAGGAGAGATGTTCAGGCTAAAACCTGAAGGAGGAGGCAGCGCTGAGATAAGGACTGTTGCAGCAGGAACAGCAAGTACAAGGGCCCAGAGAACAAGCTTGGTACATTCAAATAACACAAAGAGGCCAAGCGCGGTGGCTCACGCCTGTAATCCCAAAATTTTGGGAGGCCGAGGTGGTGGGATCACCTGAGGTCAGGAGTTCAAGACCAGACTGGTCAATATATTGAAACTCCGTTTCTACTAAAATTACAAAAATTACCTGGGCATGTGGCGCTCGCCTGTAATCCCAGCTACTTGGGAAGCTGAGGCAGGAGAATCGCTTGAACCCAGGAGGCGGAGGCTGCAGTGAGCCGAGATCGCGCCACTGAACTCCATCCAGCCTGGGCGACAGAGCAAGGCTCTGTCTCAAAAAAAAACAAAAATAAATAAAAATAAATAAATAACAGAAAGAATAGCCAGAGAGGCTGGAGAGCAGTGAACACAGTAATGAGATGAAGTAGCAGAGAGTGAAGGGCAGATAGTTCCTTTCGGAGGCCATGGGAAATAATTTTCATTAGTGCAATAAAGGATTTTTTTTTTTTAAGACGGAGTCTCGCTCTGTCGCCCAGACTGGAGTGCAGCGGCGCGATCTCGGCTCACTGCAAGCTCTGCCTCCCGGGTTCCCGCCATTCTTCTGCCTCAGCCTCCCCAGTAGCTGGGACTACAGGTGCCCGCCACCACACCCGGCTAATTTTTTTGTATTTTTTTTAGTAGAGACAGGGTTTCACCGTGTTAGCCAGGATGATCTCGATCTCCTGACCTCGTGATCCGCCTGCCTCGGCCTCCCAAAGTGCTGGGATTACAGGCTTGAGCCACTGCAACCAGCCAGTGAAGGATTTTAAGCAGGAGAGGGGCATGTCCTTAAGGATGGACACTCAAGGATGGAATCAGCCCAGTGCTTCAATGAAACAAGAAAGGCGCCACGCCCACCCATTAATGGAATCTCCCGTTTCTTTTTTGAGACAGGCTGTCGTTCTGTCGCACACGGTAAAGGACAGTGATGCGATCACGGCTCACTGCAGCCTCGACCTTCTGGGCTCAAGCAATCCTCCTGCCTCAGCCTCCCGAGTAGCTGGGAACTCAGGCACGCACAATCACGCCCGGCTAATTGTTTAATTTTTATTTTTCATAGAGGCAGGGTCTCCCTATGTTGCCCAGGTTAGTCTTAACTCCTGGGCTCAAGCGATCCTCCCGCCTCGGCCTCCCAAAGTGCTGGTATTAGAGGCGTGAGCCATCGCGCCCGGCCCCGTTTTCAGGGGTTTCCCAAGGCGAGAAAGTGGACCCTCCTGATACACTTAATGGGGTGACCAATCTCAGATGCGGGGCTAGAGCATAAAAACCAGGAGGCTGGGTCCCGGAGCTGCAGCGAGAGAAAAAAACGTTCTCTGGAAGGAGCCGAGAGGGGAGGATTCGGCCCAGCGATGTGACAGTCGCGCTACCCCGCGACAGGTGCCTCAGAAAACCCTCGCCTGGGTCGTCCTCAGAGCCTCTGCCTTCTATTTGTCCAAGCCGCCGCTCGCCACATCTCCGCAGGGACTTGACGCCGGCACCCAGTGAACCCAACTTGCGCTCCGAAGTCTGCTCCGCTCCACTACGCCCTCGCAGACGCCGGAGCCTCCGCTGGTGCGGGAGGCCGCTCCTTCCCGCCTGTTCCCGCGTGCCCTGAGCCCCCGGTCCCAGACCACTGCCGCTTTCTCCTCAGCCCCAGGCCGCTCCCCGCCTCAACTCACGGGTTGTTATTACTCATTGTAAGTAACAAGCTGCTGAGGAGCCGCACGTTGGAGTGCAGCCCCGCGGCCGCCATGTCCCGCACGTGGTCTATCACATTCATCCTGCCCTGCAAGGCCGCGGGCAGCGGCGGCAGCACTGTCTCGAAAAACCGGTAAGGGATCCTTAGGGAAGACTCCAAAATGGCCGCGTCGCCGGGGTCCATCGGGTCCACACGCGGCACCGCCCCCAAGCAAGAGGTAACTACTGAAGTGCCCGAATAAAAAGAAACTCGAGTCCCTGCTCCTGTCGTGGTCCCTTTCCGGTGAAATGAGTTGTTACTTTTACGCAAAAATTACGTCATCATCCTAAACTGCAAAATTTACTGAGGACTTACAATGAGACAAAAGTTACCTTAGTAAGACTACTTGGTCAATTTGAATGAGTCTGAGAGGAATTTGGGCCTCTCAGAAATTAAAATGTGTGAGCATTTACCAGAAATAAAATATAGTAAGGTGAGGAAAAGCGCTCCAACTGGAATTAAATATTCTAATCGGGCGCCAGGGACAGACCTAACGGCTTTTACAGTCGCGCATGCGCACCAGGCAGGGGCCGCCGCCTCCCTGCTCAGGTGTTTTGTGTTCCTGCTAAAGTCAGGCTTTGTCCCTGGATGAACTTGTTAATTCGAGGGGCGTATTTTACCATGTAAAATGATTCCCTAAATCCGTGGAAATAAAGACTAGATCCAGGAATTAGCTGATACCCATATAAACCAGCATGTGTCTGGCACAGTTAACTTTTTACAAAAGTTTTACACAAGTTATTGGACGTTCACAACAATCCATAAAGTTGAAGTTGTCTTTCCCTTCTCACAAGGGAAGAAACTGCCTGCTTAAATTTTGTGCTCAGGTTGTTAAATGGTTGACTTGGAATCAGATCGCCAGTGGTTAAATGTGATGGATCGCAAACTCGAATGTATACAGAGACCAGGGAGGTAACTGAGCCAATGAGGCAGTTTAGGTATTTGAATCAGAATCCCAATATCCTCCACAATCACCCTCTCAGATATAGCCTTTCGCTCCTTTCTTGAAGGAGACAGTTGTTTTGGTCTATATTTTGTTTTCATTTGATTTTTAGAGTAACAGATGCAAAAAAAAATGCTCTGAAAAAATCACGGTATATCTTCACCAGTCAACTTTTTCAGCTCTTACATTTTGTCACAGTTGAAGCTCCTGTGATCCTTTTCCCATCTCATCCCCTACTCTAGTTTTCTGGATGTATGAGACCTTTGATGTGATTTTGGTAGGCATGATCACTGTGAACTTTTCTTTTTTTTTTTTTTTTGAGATGGAGTTTTGCTTTTGTCGCCCAGGTTGGAGTTCAAAATCTCAGCTCACTGCAACCTCTGCCTCCCGGGTTCAAGTGATTCTCCCTGCCTCAGCTTCCTGAGAAGCTGGGATTACAGGCACCTGCCACCACTGTCACGCACGTCCGTGTGAAGAGACCACCAAACAGGCTTTGTGTGAGCAACAAGGCTGTTTATTTCACCTGGGTACAGGTGGGCATGTAGGAGGATGAGCCGCAGACAAAACTCCTCAGACACCAAATTAAAGAAGGAAGGAGTTTATTCGGCCAGGAGCATTGGCAAGGCTCCTGTGTCAAGAGCTGAGCTCCCTAAGTGAGCAATTCCTGTCCCTTTTAAGGACTCACAACTCTAAGGGGGTCCATGTGAGAGGCTCATGATCGATTGAGCAAGCAGGGGGTACGTGACAGGGGCTGCATGCACTGGTGGTCAGAGTGAAACAGAACAGACCGGGAAGTTTCACAATGTCTTTCTATAATCTATAGATAACATTAGTTGCTAGGTCAGGGGTCGAATTTTAACTACCAGGCTTAGGTAAGGCAGGCCCAGACCTGGTTTTGGGTCTGGTTCCTTGGTTTTTGGTCTGGTTCCTAGGTGCCGGGTTACCTGCTTTTTGTTTTGCTTTTCTTTCCTTTTCTGAGTTTAAAACAATATAAAACCATATGAGAGGCTGGGCGCAGTGGCTCATGCCTGTAATCCCAGCACTTTGGGATGCCAAGGCAGGTGGATCACCTGAGGTCGGGAGTTCAAGACCAGCCTGACCAACATGGAGAAACCCCTTCTCTACTAAAAATACAAAATTAGCTGGGCATAGTAGCACATGCCTATAATCCCAGCTACTAGGGAGGCTGAGGCAGGAGAATTGCTTGAACCTGGGAGGCGGAGGTTGCGGTGAGCCAAGATCGTGCCATTGCACTCCAGCCTGGGCAACAAGAGTGAAACTCCGTCTCAAAAAAAAAAAAAAAAAACCACCTATATGAGAAGGTCTGTCTGTCTTCTCTCAGGCTGAGTTCAAAAACAGAGTCAGCAAAGGGAGATAGGGGTGGGGCCGTTTTATAAGACTTGGGTAGGTAGTGAAAAATTACAGTTAAAGGGGGTTGTTCCCTGGCAGGCAGGGGCAGGGGTCACAAGGTGCTCAGTGGGGGAGCTTCTGAGCCAGGAGAAGGAATCTCACAAGGTCATGTCATCAGTAAAGGAAGGAACAGCCATTTTCACTTCTTTTGTGTTTCTTCAGTTACTTCAGGCCATCTGGATGTATACCTGCAGGCTTGGGCTCAGAGGCCTGACATTCCTGTCTTCTTATGTTAATAAGAAAAATAAAATGAAATAGTCATAAAGTATTGGGGCAGTGAAAATTTTGGGGGATGGTATGGAGAGATGATGGGTGATTTTTCTCAGGGCTGCTTCAAGCAGGATTGGGGTGGTGTGGGAACCTAGAGTTGGAGAGATTAAGCTGAAGGAAGATTTTGTGGTAAGGGGCGATAGTGTGGGGTTCTTAAAAGGAGCATCTGTCGTATAGAATGATTGGTGATGGCCTGGATGCCATTCAATTTTGTGTGAATTGAGAAACTAAATGGAAGACACAAGGTCTGAATTAAGAGAAGGAGAAAAACAGGTATTAAATGACTAAGAATTGGGAGGACCCAGGACATCCAATTAGAGAGTGCCCAAGGGGGTTCAGCATAATTACTTGCTTGGTTGGTGAGTTTTTGGGCTCTATCCTTGACAGAGTCCTCCTTTTTAAATTGGAGGCTGAGCTTGGTGAGGTGTGTTTTTATTTTTTTATTTTTTTTTTTGAGACGGAGTCTCGCTCTGTCGCCCAGGCTGGAGTGCAGTGGCACAATCTCGGCTCACTGCAAGCTCCGCCTCCTGGGTTTACACCATTCTCCTGCCTCAGCCTCCTGAGTAGCTGGGACTACAGGTGCCCGCCACCTCACCCGGCTAGTTTTTTTGTATTTTTTAGTAGAGACGGGGTTTCACTGTGTTAGCCAGGATGGTCTCGATCTCCTGACCTCGTGATCCGCCCGTCTCGGCCTCCCAAAGTGCTGGGATTACAGGCTTGAGCCACCACGCCCAGCCAAGCTGTGTTTTTAAAAGACCATTAGTCCATTCTATCTTTCCTGAAGATTGAGGACAGTAAGGCGTATGAAGTTTTCACTGAATACAAAGAGCCTGAGAAACTGCTTGGGTGATTTGACTAGTAAAGACCCATCCGTTATCAGACTGTATAGAGGTGGGAAGGCCAAACCAAGGA